CGCATTCGATACCCGGCGGTGCCGATGGAAAGTCCGGCCACGGGCCCTAAATCTTTTTTCGTTTCCAAATATAAAACGGGGTTTGCCGCATCCTGGCGGGGAAATCCTTTGTTACGCCATACGGCGCTAGTAGACGCGCCTAGCAGTTACCGGCTACTAGTCCTAAGAATTTTACGCGGCGTAAATTCACCCAACGCGGGCCACCAGCCGCTACCGCCTCCCACCATTATAACTCTGGTCGTTTCTACGCCATGGCGCGCCGAATTACGTCATTTTCGCCCCCGCCATTTGTCCGCCCGACGTAGAAACGGCCGATCGGCAAACGATTGGACGTAGCCAATCGGCGAGTCGATCGGTTCCATTTTATCCCGGCATTGGCAAGAAGCGCGTGGAAGATAGAGACGGGGATGGTCCGCCATTTTCGCTTCCGCGGCAGTCGATAATCGGAAGAGACGCCGACGTCGGGCGTAGATAAACGAACGGTTTACGAGTCGAGCGACAGCGGGCGGAGAATCGTATCGAAACGGTTTTAGTTTTGAAAAAGAACAACAAAAGTAATAACGGGGCCATCCCGCCCAGTACAATACGTTGCTACGGGGACGGCGGGGTAGGGCCACCTCCTAAAACTTGGTTAATAGGCCCGGCGTCCCGAAAGCTCGGATCTTCTACCTCCAACTAAAGCTAAAAAAGCCATTACGCAAATAAGAGGAAGAAAACGTCGCGGAATTAAACTTAAAACGGGAATGCCGGTCTTCCGCGCCACTCGATTATCCGCCCGACGTAATTTGCTACTTATTAACGTTTAATTGTTTTTCGAAAGAGGCGGTTGCGGAGTAGGGGGAAAAACACCCGGGGTAATTAATTATAATTAATGCCGCCGGTCCCACTTTCGGCATCCCGAAAAAAAGTACGGAATGGAGAGAGAAGCTTCCCGTTTTTCTCTCCTACGGTCGACGGTGGGAGGTGGGGGCCGGACGGGCCACGGGTCGCGATTCGTCCGGGGTCTCCCGACTCGTCTCTTACTTTCCGGTGGTGGGAATTTGGCCGGGATTAATTCCTCCGCACGGTTATATTCCACCCAGGCCCGAGGTGTCAAAAACAGATAACCGAATCGTCCTTCGGTACAATTGTTTCCGGTCCGATAATAATTAATATTTGAACGGATAAATATTTCCGGCGCGTTACGTAAAAATTCTCCGTCGCCGTCCTTTATATAGCGTTTAAAAAACGTCAACGTACCGTACACTACACTCGGGCGACTTCTCGGACGGGCCGACGCCTTTCCCGTAAATCGCCACCTTCCTTATTTTTACTCTAATTTAAAACGCTGCCGAAACGGGTGAAAGTCGCTGTCCGGCAGAAAAAACACCGGCTAATAGGTGCGAACGAATACACTGGATACAAAAATGGCCGGTGGGAAAAGGGAAGAGGTAATATAACGGAATTTTTGAAGGTTTTAAATGTTACTTCGGTATCGGACGATCCGGCACGGAATTAAACGGTCGGAGACTTTACGGGGTTAAAAATTTGGCTGATACAAGTGGGCCGGCGCTTCCGTTACCCTAAAGAAGTATTAATATTATAGAAAATATGGGTGGGAATAATGGCGTGGCTCGTATTCGAAACAATAGTAAATTTCCAGTAGACGTAGCGTATAATACATCGGAGCTGTCCTACCGGCGAGAAACGCCGGCGGGGCCGGATTGGACCAGCGGCGGCGTTTATCGATAGCCGTAAACTACGGCGCGCGCCAGGTAATTGGGTGCCGATCTTCTTTAACGAAAAACCACCGCCGGTAATTTCGTAGCCAAATTGCCGGCAGCGAGAAAAATCTTAGGGAAAGAACGTCGATTGGTCTGACCGCGCCGGAAAATTCGTCGTCGGAAATTCCCCATTTGCAAATTAAATCCGCTAAAAGAAAAGGCGGGGGGGGGTAAGAGAAGCCTCCCGACCACCAGAAAATAATCTTTGTCTTTTACCCAAACTCTGACCGAAGCGCGGTTTCTGCCAACTTCCCCGTTTGAAAGTTAAGTTATCGACTCTGGCCGGGTTCTTTCCTCTCGTCCAAGACGGAAGAGTACCCCCACCCGATTCGGTGGCCGGATTGTTAACGTCGGAAAGACGCTTCTCTTCTTTAAACAGTGGGAACGAAAATAAACGGCAGATTCCGAATCCTAGTCTCTTCTCACCCTCTTCTCACCTCCCTCCCTCTTCTCACCCTCTCGCGCTTCGTTCTTTCCATTTTTTCCCGCTCCTCCGAAAAGTGTGGCGGCCCCACCCAGTCCCGGGCGCTTCTCGCCCTCTCGGTCGGCAACTACAAACTCCACCGCTCCCGGACCCGTCCTCGACTTTAGCGGAAACGGAAGCGGATTCGGAAAAAAACTAGACTTAACAGCGACTTCTATCGGTACTTTTCCGCGCCGACCGGGGGCAAAAGCGGAAAGAAGAAGAAAAAAAAAACACAAACGAAGACGAAAGAGCCGCGTGAGATGGGAGGCGCCGACGTCTAAGGCCTTAAAAGCGGTTACTTTCGTCGACGGAACCGGGCGGGTCGCGGATGGCGGTCGGACTCGGTGGTCGTTTCCGGTTCCGGTCCCCCTCGGCGTAATTCCCGTCTTCCCCGCCTGGAAAGAGGATCGGCCCTTCTCCCACGTTCGGCTTTTTCTCCCGTCTCCTTCCCCGACCGGAAGTAGGTTCCTCCGCCCGACTCCACCAACGCCACTTCCGGCATTGCCCGGTGCGTTACGCCCCCTTCCGCTCCGGGAGTCCTCCGTCGGCCGACCGCGGCGGGCCGCCGCGGACCAATTTCCCATCGGCCCGGCGGGAGGAGGAAGGAGAGAGGGGTGGCCGTGGACCGCGGCCCGGCCCGATTGGTCCAGTCCCACCGGGCACTCTTTTCGTGGACTAACTCGGGCGGAGTCCGGCCGACGAAATTTCTGGGGGCGAGGTAGGGGGGACTGCGCTTTCCTTCCCGCCGGAGACTCTTTCCCGCCAAGAACGCGGGCATCGGTCCGCTCGACCTTCGCCCTTTCCAGCGGCGGCGGCGGCGCTCCGAGACTTAATGAGTCCGACAAATTAGTTATTTCGGAATTAGTCCGGCGTTCCGACGAAAGAAAGACCGAGCGCCGGATAATTACCGGCGCGCGCGGTCGACTCTTCTCCGCCGCGTGGCGCCGACGGTCCGGATCGGTCCGACGCGCCTCCCGCACGCGACAGCGGAAAGAAGAGATTTTCGGGGGAGGCGGCACTCCGTTCTAACACATTCCTGAAACTGGCGGCCGACGTAGCAATCTCCCTCGCCTATTCCTACCCGAAATAAAACGAAATCTCCCAGTCGCGGGCCAATTGCTCGGGTTCCGGGATTGGACACCCCCTCGGCCTCCGACGACGGACGATTGAAATTTCGGCAGGACCGTCTCCGCCCTTCTCCCTAATTAAAAGTTAACTTCCGAAGGCAAACGATAAGAAAGCGCGACGGCGTCGATTAACCGGCGGCGGCCGGTGGTTCGCGCCGGAGTGGCCGCCGGTACGGACGGGCGACGACGCGCATTCGTCGCCCGCGCGGCCGTCACGTGATTTACGAATCGCGTAATAAACGGACGGATAGGTTAATCCGGTGGAGGGGTCGGAGGCGGCGCTGCCGTCGGACGATTCGTAATTATCGGAGGGGCTCGGAGCGGCAGCGGCTCGTCAGTCGGTGACGGAGCGCACGTGCGATCGCTCCACCGTCATGTACCATCCGTACCTGTGGGAGAATTTCCGCGTTCTTCGGGCCGCGTGGTTGGTGGCCGTTCGAGGTAGGTCTGCTCGTCGTTCCCCCCGGCGGGTGGTCATCCGCCTTTAAAGCTTTACCGCCTCCTTCCTCTTCCCGTCCCACCCGTCCCGCTCCCGGCCCGTGGCCGGATCGAGCTTTTACTTTTTCTACCCGCGCCGAGAAAACCGCGTCGATTTGGGGACGGAGCGTCCGTTCGGGCAGGGGGAAACCCCGGGCGAAAACCCTCGTCAATTGCGCCGGGTTCGGAAGAACGATTGACGACGGATAAACGATGACCGTCGACCGACTTAATCTTTTTCGCCCCTCCTCGGCCGGGAATTCCCCGCGGCTGGGGTCTTAAAATGGAGAAAATTAGCCGGAAATTCCCGGGGCGAGGTCGGACCGAAGCGCGAGACGGACGGAAATGAGTTGGAAATTCGCAAAACGCATACTTGCGCGTTTAAATCCGGGGAAGGTTTTTCGATTTAAAAGCGCGCGCGGTCTCCCATTAAGTCGCCCGCCGACTTCCGAAAAAGGCAGCCACGCCGCGTCTCTACCCGTCGGCTTTTCCAATTCCGATTTCCGGATATTATCGCCGGAACGAAGCGATCGAATCGCCGCTTCCGCCGGAAACAAAACTCATTCCGATCTAATCGATGGAAAATTGACCAGAAATTTTCGACGCCGCCCGCTCCATCTCCTCCCCTACGGGTGGCCCGACCCTGGCCGTGGCGCCCGTTCGTTCCCTAGTCCGGGAGAAATTTCGGCCACCTCCCGACCCCGGGAAAATTTCCCTAAAGAAAGGTGGCGAAATCGGCGCCGGAAAAACGGTCTTCCCCGTCCGACGCCGGAGCCTGGCGGGTGCGTTTCTATGCCGTCGCCCCCGAAACGGGAGTCCGGGGGGGGGATTTAACGAAGAGGGGAACGGATTAATTTCTGGAATTGCGCTCGGCGGATCTCCGGTCTCCGGGGTGGACTTCCGGCCACCCGAGCGTAATTAACGCCTGCGATTATTCGTTCCCGTTTATCCCGCTCCTCTCGGCTTCGGCCAGAGGTTTTGTGGTCGCCCCCGAAGGTCAGAGCTTTTCGAAAGAGAAAAAGTCGCGCGGCGGTCGTTTCGGGTGGGAGAGGTTATCGATCGGCCGTGGTTAATCGTCATCGACGACGTATTTGCCGGCAGAAGCGCGCGCGTGTTGGAGACTTTTACTTTGTTTGGCGAAAGTAACGTGGTCCTTTTGTGTTTCAGACGGGAAGTGTTCGGCGGCCGAGTGCAACGGAAGCGGTCACCTGACGGGGATGTACTCTCAGTCCAGAAGGTGAAATTCGCGTCTTCTTGTTCTCTTTGTTTCTGTGTTTAACTGGTAAGGGTAACCGAGTGTTTTCTCGCCCCGCAGCGTGACTTGTTCGAGAAAAGAGCGAGCGACGCCGGACGGTGAGTGTTTTCCACTTATTAGCGTAACCGTGACGTTTAGACACGTATCCGCGAATTAACGTATTTTTCCATTATTAAACGCAGCCTTGGCAATGAACGATGTACTAGTCAAGTAAGTGTAATATAACTTTTAGAAAATCGTTATATTCGGCCGAGTTACTATATTAATTAGCGAGCGTTGCGCGGAATGGCCGTGCATCCCATTGCAGTACCCGTTTAATTGGTCCGACAATCGATGCGGACGGAACGGATCGGAATAACCACATCGCATTATAAACAATGGTTTCTGTTTACGCGTGAAATGTTAATAACTACTCTAACGAACTGTCTTTAACTAATGCCGTTTCGCTCCGCTAATTACTCTGGTTATTTTTTTTTTAACCCGCCAGATGCCCCACTCCGGGATGTAGCGGCCGCGGACACGTCAATACCTGTAGGAACACGCACAGAAGGTGAAAAACCTTTCCTAAAAACGCTAATTACCTCTTTCCGCCCACTCTCCGTAACGCATTCTACTTTCTCTTTCTTTAGCATTTCCGGTTGTCCCATCGCCGCCATGGAAAAAATGGCGCAGAAGGAACACGCATCTAATTACAAACCGCTGATTCAAAGTAGGTATTTCTCTCTTCTCCCGTGGCGAATTTAAACCCGCCGAGCGATTAACATTCGAGCGGAAACCCGATTGCAGGTCCGACGTCTTTCGACGGCCTTCTTCGACCTTCTTGCTACAACAAACAGTTGGAAGTGGACGACTACAAATACCCGTGTTACGTCAACCAGCCCGAAAAAGAGGACGTGTACTGTAGACAAATGTCGCCCCAGTCGGTGTACGGTTACGAAAATTCCAGGTATTATCAGAGATACGTAACGCCCAAAGCCAAAATGACGGAATCCGACTTGGACAAACAAAGGTGAGACTCTCCCGTTTTTTCCCCATCCTTTCTTTTTACACGCCAAGCACTTGTACTAAAACATCGTAAAACCCAAATATGGCACGATCGGGCGGAATATTTACGTCGCCACCGACTCCGGCCGGCTTTGCCGCAGAAAAGGAAGAGCCTGCCACCTTTCCGTCCCCTTCGACGTTAAATGAAAGGGGAATAATTACAGTTTGGTCGTCGCGATTTTAAAGTTAGATCTGAAAATGAGACGAGATTTTTCTTTTCTTCTCCTCCCCTCAGAATCCAGTTCGAGTCGGCGCCCACCGCCATAAATCTGTCGACCAAGAATTCGGAAAGGGAGGTGGATCCGTCGACGACCGCATCTAGTGCCTTTTCTCTTCCACCTGTCGACCTAAGCACCGACGGCAAGTAAGTGCACCCGCACACGCCCGTGCCACATTTGGGTTCCCCTTTATTATAAGTGCTTCCGTTCCTACGGCGGCGCGGTCCGTCGGTAAACGGGACCAAACGTCCACCGCCCCTTCTTACGTCGCTCTCGGCCCTTCCTCCATTTCTCCAACTCCGCCGATTTCGGACCTTTCGAAAATTTTTCCGCCACGGCGCCCGTTATACCCCGGAATTACCCGATTGGTTCTTTCGTACCGGAAATTCCGCCAGTCCAAGAATGTAGAACACATCCGGAAATCTTGTGTAAGTAACTGGCGGAATGCTGTCGTTTCTTTCTCTTTTGTACGCTTTAGCCGAAATTAAGTAAGTTGCACCCTAGGCAATTACCGACGTTTCCCGGAGTCTTTAAGTCTACTTCTATTAAATGTTTAGTTACGAAGGGACGGGTTATTTATCCCGTCGTAGCCCATTCCCGCTGGCATTTTTCTCCTTTTCGCCACCGGGGGGTGGTCGGGAGACACTTGGTTCCTCTACGTAGCCGTTTCCACCACGATAATTATCTTTTTAGCTATTACTTCGGACTGCGGCAGACGGGTGACGTCAAAGTTTTCTTATCCTTTTACCTAGGGGGAGCGTTAGCCGGGCCTTTTCTGCGCTTTTCGTACGATCGAGTCGTTCTCCAAAATTCCATCCATCGATTTCGAGTAAACTTTGCCATTTCGCCTAATACGAGAGCAGGAAATTAGAAATGTAATAAAATTCGGGGGTCCGCCGTTTCGTTTTCGAGATAAGGCGGGGTCGAAGGGACGACGAAATTCTTTTTTGTTTCGAGAGGCCCGAAACAATAGGATGGAAGGGCCGGCGCTCGGACCCGATTCTTGGCCAGAAGAAAAAAGAGGTAAAAGATGTGGGGACGGGAAGGCGTAAAGGCGCAAAAGCTTTAACGAGGGCAAATCAGATTAATGCCAACGGACGGATAATCTGGTCGTTTGGCGTCTCGATGATAACAATGGTTATACGTAATGATTTATTTTACATATCATTAACGTCGCGAGCTATTTGCAGATATTTCCAAATATGTACTCGGATTGTTTCGACGAAATCGGCAAACAGCGGTCCAACGGTACAAGCACCGACATTAGCACTTTATGTTCCGTATGGTTCTATAATAAAGACGTTCGAATTAATAACGTTATGCTAATTATATAGATCGAGCGCCTTTCCCTTTAAACTGTCGGCGCATCGTTGTCTCTGCCACTGATTAAACCCGCCTGACCGGAAATTGACGCAAAAACGATAAACATCTCCAAATGCCCCGTTTTTCGAAAACCTTTTCCTTTGTAAAATAAACTATTAAAGACTTCCGCACTTTAATTACTTTCTTCCGCGGACGATTAAAAAAAATTATAAGGGGAGGATCGCTTCGGGGAATTACGGTAATAAACGAAAATCCAAAAAGTGCACTCGTCCGAAATAGTGGCGCGAAAGAGATGGAAAGATCCGAGTCCAAATAGGTTTGTCTCCGGGCTGGAGGGATTGTCTTTCCGGACGTCTAACACCTAGTTAGGAGTGGCAGTTTCCCTTAACACGTCCGACAGTCCGATTTTTCGGAGATTAATTTTTCTAATTATTTCTTATCTAAGAATTTTTTCTAATTTTATCCTTTCGTTACGACCAATTTAATAACGCGTACGCGTTTTCCGGGGGAGGGTGCCACGAAATACGGCGCCGTAACACTTTTACGCCTAGCTTATTACTAAAAGTACGAAAATCTGGACCACTGTGCGTCGTTAAAGCGGATCAATTAAAAAAACAGCTTAATTTATTTATTAACTTTTTGAAGGAACTCCGGCCATATAAAAAATTTCCGAGTTGCGGGTGAAGGATGCTTCTCCATCTATTACGGAAAGGTGGAAAAACGTCTCTGTAGCGCATTATACCGGAAGAGCGCGAGAATGGGCCACGTAACGGCTAACTTTATCCCGGAAAAATATTGTCAATTCTTAGCCGTTTTTTAAAAATAGGTTATTCCTAATTGGGCAAAAATATGTTTTCGTCGGAATTTAATTCTTTTCCCCACAGAATTAGCGATTAATTGCGCTTTACTAATCCGATTGGGTGGAAACTCGTAGCCTAAAGCCCATTAATTCAACCGCTCTCCGCCTTCGTCCTTTCGACCGCCGGAATATTTCGCCCGCGAAAACTTTAGCATCGACCCTGAAAAATATTCTGGCGATTTCTGAAATCCGCAACTTGGTAAAAATTCTCCGAAATACCGACTTTAATACGAGAAACCCGATAATAAAAACAGTCTTACGGATAAAGAGGAATTCGTTTGGATTGGGTTTGTTGGTCCAAAAAATGTTCTGCCGATAAAACTTTTATCTTTAAAATGGGACGAGCCGAAAAAAGAAATTTGCGGATTTTGCAAAATTATTTCCGAAAAACTCTTCCTTGGCCACAGCCTATCGCCTTCCTTTCCGATTTTCGCAATTCGTTTCGTCGAAACGAAACGTCCTTTGACCGTAAAGGTTTTACTTTCGAGTGGAAATATTTTTCTTCGCGTAATTTTTGTGTTCCGAGTAATAAAACTTCGTTGTCCGATTCGGTTCTCCGCATTATAACAACGCGAAACTTTGGAGTTTTAAATAAGAAACAAGCCCCTGTGATCTTTACGTTTACGTTTAAAAATCTCCCTTTGATCGACGATCGCAGTTTTATTCGTTCGTAACGATTTAAATCCACAATTACGTTACTACTCGCTTAATCCAGCCATTTTAAAGTGATTTTTTAACCGCTGCGAAATAAGAAAACGGTGGTTTACGTTCTTCTTATTAATTTACGTATATAAGCGCAACTCCTTGTCCATTGTCTGTATTCTTTCTTACGCCCGTGGCCGAAAATTCGTGGCTTTGCCGGCTACGAAAAGCGAAACTAAAATGCCGTGTTCTTTTACCCGTGCAGTTCTTCGCAAATATACGGAGTGGGCAACGACCAAAGACCATCCGTTCTGGTTTCTCCGAAATCCATGTACTCGATCGAAGCGGAACAAACGGAACCGGTAGACTTCTCCACCAGTCACGCCGCTCTGAGAACTTCCCCCGTCATGGGCGGGCGATGCAGCGCCATGGATTCTTCGGAACACTGTTTGGCGCGACACTCGCCCTATCCGCAAATACAGAGCCCGGTGGGCCATCAGGATCCCGGACGACCCAGTACCTGCCCGCTCAGTACGGACCACGATAAGTAAGTATCCTCGCCTTTCCGTCGTCCGAAACGTACCGTACGTAAATGCCTTAAGAATTTAAATTCTCTTTAGGACGTTACCCCCCAAACTGGTCAGACTGACCACGTCCAGGAGTCGCGAAGGACGAGAACTGATTCACTGCCCCACACCCGGATGTGACGGCATGGGCCACGTGTCCGGAAATTACGCTACGCATAGAAGGTAAATAACACTTTACGGCTATTAAAGAAAACAGAAAAGGCGTGAGAGTTAAACTTTTCTGGGGAATTACGTAGGCTTACGTCAAAATCCTTGTGTTCTGCTACATATAAGGACATGTTAAATTAATCTTAACGAAATACTCTAAAATTAATATCAAAATTAATTTTCTTTTTTTTAAACGGAGATTATTTTTAACGGAATCGCAGCAAATTAAAGTGCCGTATGTATATTTTACAGTATATCAGGTTGTCCTCATGCAGATCGTTCCCAAATCCAAGCACAACACCAGGAATTGAAGTAAGTTGCAGAAATGTACTTCGTAAAATTACTGTTATGAAAATTAACGGGAATGGGAATATATTTTTTAATTAAACCAATTAAATAAATTTAAGATTAATTAATACAATTTATTGAAATGGTCGATGCCAATATAATAACGTGTAACTTGACGTCACAATCCACAGTCATTTCCTTGCCAGGTGTCCGACACCCGGATGCGACGGCTCCGGACACGTCACCGGAAACTATTCTTCTCATCGAAGCTTGTCGGGATGCCCCAGAGCCAACAGACCCAAAAAAGTGCTGCACAGGGACGACAAGAACGAATCCGAACCTTTACGGTAAGCCTAATTCCATCCACCCTCGCCGGCCAACTTTTCGTTACTTACCGCGGCCATTTTTTCTTTCAGTTGTCCAATTCCCGGGTGTGGCGGATCTGGTCACGTGACAGGAAAATTTCAATCGCATCGCAGGTAAATCCTACTCATTTTTTACTCAAAAAATAAAATTTGGAAAGGCAGAATTGAAATGTCGCGCCATTCCGCAGCGTATCCGGCTGTCCGATGGCTAACAGAAATAAAATTCGACACGAATCGGTGGCACCCGACGGAAGATCGGTGAAATCGGAAGGAGTCAGGTCAGTTCTTTTAGTACTGTATTTAATAATTAAAGCAAATTTGCACTTTAGCGCGTCTACTAAAGTGGGCCGTTGTTTCGTGCAGCTGTCCGACACCGGGTTGCGACGGGACGGGACACGCCAACGGCACTTTTTTGACACATCGAAGCTTATCGGGATGTCCCAGAGCACCGCATTTATTGAAAAAGACAAAACCCGTCAACGACGAACCTCAAGCCGTTTCCGTCAAAACGCAACCGACAAGTAAGTGACTTTAATAAAACAAACCTCCTTCACTCCTATTTAAAAAACACACTCAAAGGGAAACCGACACACATTCTCCTTCCGAAACTGCCGGCCTTTATCCACATTTACAATTTATTTCGAGAAGTTTGCGTGGAAAATCAATAGTAAAAATAGAAATCTTTTGTCGTCGAAATACCAATTTATTTTTCTACATTCGGGCCTATCGTAGATGGCAATACTGAATCTTAAAACTTAAACACCAAGCGAGAAATGCGTTGGAAACTCGGACTAAAGTAAGTCTCGCATACGTTATTATTTGTTTAGACGTGGTCAGAGACTTTAATTCACACTGACGCGATTAATACACCAATTTCCCAACGATTTTATTTCACAGCCATAAAAGATAAACATTTAGCAATTTTCAGTATTCTCTTATTGGATACGTATCGGATAAAGTGTAGCGTGAGTACAAAACAATAAAAGAATCGAAAGGATAATGAATAAATAAACAAACGTTAGAGTTAATTAGAAAGAATTAGGCCGCCGTACGCGTACACGCAGAACGTGGTATGACGTGAACACTAGTGGAAACGGAGGGTTTATCAGTCACACAACCCAGATACAAAAAATACAAATATACAATGATTAAAGTTATGATCAAAACCCATTCAAAAAAGCAATTAAGGTAAGACGATGTCATTCTCTTTGGATAGATAACACCGAAGAAAATGCGGACATTCAGGCATTAGAAGAAGAAATAATGGAGTTACAAGAATACAATGCCAAAGTGGAATCAGAAATGAACCGTCTTCGGACTGACATCACCCAAATGGAACAGCATATACGTATGACTGTCAGGGTAAAAGTAATTGCGATACTGATGACCCTATACACACGTGAAGGGAACTGGTTAATATATCGCAACCATACAGTAATTGTTTTTTAAAAAATACGCTAGGGCCAATCCTTTTATTTTCTTTAATTTTTTTAATTCACATCTAATTCGCTTTAATGCGCTAATTCCCATTTCTTAATTAAAATTTTAAATGGGACTTGTTTTGTTTTTAATATTTGTACCGATGGACGCATTGGATTCGGTTTTGATCTCGTGCCACACGAAACACGAAAACCGATTTTAACACACACACGATATTAAAAGACTGACTCCGTTATTTGTTTCTATTAGCGCAAGTTCAACAACGTTCGAAATTAATTTAAATAATAAAACAAATTAATAAATTAGGATGGTGACGAGTGAAGATCTCACTTTTACCGTTCTATTACTTAGGACAATCAATCTCTGGCCCAGAAGACTACCCATTTATCTGAATATTACGAGTCTCTCCGCAACAATTTCATATCCCTGTTAGACCACGTCCGACTACCGAATTTTGAAGACAAACCCAATGTCGATAATTTCGATACCTACCTGAATAAACTTCAGTCCCTGTGTACAGATAACTACAGACACGACAACAAAACCGTTTATTCTTCTGTCAGACAAGCTCTCCAAGAATTCAACGTACCTGTGTGAGTATTCTTATCTAAGTTCCGTATTTTCTTCTTTCCCTCCACTGAGACTATTTCGTTTTTTAATTTTTAATCATTTCTAATAAAATAAATCGCTTATTCCTACTAAATTGCCTTTTATCGCCATTCGTTTTTTCTCTATATAATAATGCTAATACGTTTTTAATGCCATTATAATAATTTATCATTCGTCAAACTAGACAAATGAAACTACAGTAATAACTGAACAGACGTATCTGTAGATAATTAAGAAATATTTTTCTCTGTTAATTATACGTTAATGTAAAATATGTATACACACACACATATACCGTATTTTCTCCATTAAACTGCGGGGGTTTGTTTTTAAGACATACTGTACGCGTGCCCCGAGTTTATTTGAACTTTCGGGATTTTTTACCTCGCAGCGCATTAAAAATACCCGAATTACTTATACATTTTTGGAACGTTTATTGACCGTATTTATGGATTACGGTTACAATATTTGAAAAAATCCAACTTAAGTTTCGAGTTGCTTCAATTTCCCGGCTATCTGTTACGATATTTTATTTTAAAAAACATCTTTATATTTTTAACTATTATAAAATGGCAAAAAAGTTAATTTTGGGGGCAGTTTTATAAAATATTATAAATGCTAATAAGCGGTAAAATCGTTATTAAGTCTGACCCTACTGGAGGTACACGCCATCACCTTTATTTTCTCACCTCGTCGACCTTTAACCGCCAAAATTTAATGCCGTCGATCTCTCTAATAAACAAACCTCCGCGCGTGTCAGAAATTTTCGATAAAAAGCGCGGGAGTTATTAAGCTTCAAACGGGGTGAACAAAATATTGCCCCCCCACACACATACACATTAACATCCATATGTACAGAAGAAACCCCCGAAATTTTTTGCATTTTTCGACTTTTCGAGGCGTAAATGTAAAAATCTTGCGGGTGATTTTTTGACCCACCGACATCTTTCTCTCTGTTATATATAACAACCGGAAAAGTAACAATTAGTGCTTTCATATCGAACCCAATTCGGTTGTTTTGATGTCTACCGTCTCCAATTCGCGTTTTCCAATTGATCTCTGTCCGATACGCTTTCGACTTACGACTTTCCCACCCTCGATTTCGACAATATAGCTAACTTTATTTCCAAAAATGCCCGGTCGCTCTAGACAATTCGAAATGGTAGAATTTTCATTTTCTTATCTGTGGCTGTAAACTACATTATCGTGTTATCCGTGCCTTTCAATCCGAGGTTTAATGGAGGAAATACGGTATTTTTTTTTACTTTAATCTCTCGAGATAAGTATATTTTTACTTAAATTTCAATTCCCGTTAAGTGTATGCAAACTACAATAACTGACGTACGAAAACAAAACAAAACTCGGGTCGGTTCGACCGAATGGGACAGCGCACAATTTTACGTAAATTTGATGGAATTCTTTAGAATTTTTCGTCGTAAAACCGAAGTAACGACGTCAAATTGACGCAAAAATGTCGCCTTCCCAAACAATCGAACACGGCCGAATGACGATGCTAGATTATATTTAACTATAATCAAGATTTTCAATAAACAAATTTATTGAAATAAAATAAATATGACTTCAAATATTACATTGGCACGACAGACGACTGACTCGTAGCAGATACGAGGATATAAGATCGATGAGGTGATGACGATAGGATTTTTCAAATTTTCAAGTACAGAGTAATAAATTTATATAAAATTATTGTAGTTTTGACTCGACACTTTATCGACGTTGTTGTCAATGGATCCTTATAATCGATTACGTCGTACGGGTACAGTGCTGTGCATCCTGCACCATGTAACCGATTTCAAGGATCTGTAATCGCTATAGAAAATTTGAAAACGACGAACCTAGTTTACCCTATTATTTTTAAATAAGTAGAATAACTTAATCTGCGTACTTATATTTTTACAGACAAAACTCGAATGGTTGGGTGAGATCCTGAAAACTCGGTTGAAGAACCAGAAGTATCTTCAACAATAACCTTATGAACTTCCATGCATCAATCGATTATTACAACCTTTACAAAGGCGATTTTACATTTATATTTTCTTCGTTTCTTCCATTCTTTAATTACCATTTATACAAACACATACACGTACATATATACATAGACATATATATATATCTTCGAGGAAAAAGTTTTAAATTTAACTCTCGATTCTTGCTCGTCTTCAACTGGAATAACGTTAGTTTAAAAGTTTAAAAAGAGAATAAGAAAAAGGAAGAGCAAGACTAAAAGTCACCAAGTGATGGAAGAACATTCAACCAAAAAATATAAGAGCCCAATTTCAAAATCATTATACAAAATAACGCAATATAAATGGCAACTATTGTCTCCCTTCCTAACGTTGTTTATGGCTGTGATTGACCATTACAGTGCTGTATCGTTTCATTCACACAAATAAGTAAATAGGATAGCGCAAAGCCCCTTCGAGAAAATTGTTTAAAAACGCGTATGCTGTATAAAATGCTATCATCATTGTTTTATTGTTCACGCAACATTACTTCTGGACTACAGGGTGAATTTTGATCAGTCATAACATTATTTGTTACATGCGGTATGGTTTATTCCAAGGGACCAGACTGGTTGTGCGATATTCTGGATATTGTTATGTTAATGTTGAAAAGCGGAAAACACGTGTTGCGGAATGGATACAAGAGAAGTGTTTAAATACCATTTTTATTCTTTTATTTTTTATGATTTTTTGGAAAAAAACGAAAAATATCATTCATAGTCGACTGCCATGTTGTGATTTGTTGTGATACAGTATTGTGTAAAGACGACTCTGACGTGTCTACTTTGTCCCATAGAATATTTAGTAATCATTATACTCTCCCATTAAAAAAAGATTAAAAACAAAAAAAAAAAAAATATTGTAATTGTTGCTAGCAAAGTTGCCAAGGGGATTCCCATTAAAAAGAGGTGAATTTAGATGCTCCTCGAAGCCTTAATGTCATTCTATAGCGGGTGGACGAACCCGCCATTGTCTGTGATCTTATGTAGTGATGCACATAATTTTCTAATTTGTTTTTCTTTTTACGGACAAAAATAATACAAGAAATAATGAAAAAGATAGAATTTGCGTTGTGTGATATTCGTTGTGCTAAAGATAAAATTTTAAAGAAATTTCAACTTATTTTTATCTCATCCGAATCGATTAATGGCGAATATTGTGAAAAAAAGGTTTTAAACTATACAAATTGTAAATAGAGGTAAAATATTATCTTGGACATTTCATAATCAAAGTTCATTTGGTTGATTTTCTGCTCCGGAATTGTCCTTTGCCGTGTTGATTTTTACTACCTGGTATTGTATAGATACTGTGGTTGTATTATACTGTTCTGATTTGTGATTGCTTATACACTGTTCTCCATTGTATCATGAGACTCTAAGCATTTTATTGTCAATAAAGCAACATAAGTTTTAAAAACTGATTCGTAAATATTTTAAAATAATTACAGTCGACCAATAAAAATTCCACTATCAAAAGCAATGCTTCGTGCACGAGACGGTCTAAATTGTACCCGGTTAATCTGAATTTTTCCTGCTAAACGCCATTAAAATATATTCATTTTTTAATCGAGTTGGATTATTATTAACGAATTTTCTTTGTTTCTAATTGTTTTACTAAAAATGTATTAACGAAGTGATCGGGAACGAGCGGACATTTCTTAAAAACAATGCAGTCGTAAGCTATTATTGGCGCTACGTACACCATCGTCGGCAATAATTAGATAAAGTCGTTGGTTATTAAATAAATAGTACGAGTGTTGATATAATGTATCAACCGATTGTAACCGAGAGTCGGTTGATACTATCTAAATTATATACTCGCTAATGTCCGGTCATTTGCCTATAACAATAAGCGTATTACGCAGTCGAGGTTCTGGCAAGATCTATTTTTATTCAAACGTCAAAGGCTAATAAGTAAGGAAAATTAATAGAAAAAATTATTTATTGGAGAAAAGTCAAAGGGAGTGGCGATTTTATATTTAAGTGCCGTCGAGAAATACGTCTTCAAACGCCTAACCGAAACGTTAATTGCGATTGTAATCAAATATTTCTTAAATGTCGTTTAAAGTAGTTAAAGTTGCCGGGAACAAAGAAAACTCTCTCTTTTCCAAAACTAAATGTAGCTGTTACGCGTAATTAGAAGTTGCCGAACTTCATCCCTTTTCAGGTTTAAGAGAACGAGAGCGCGCGATTATCTACATCCCCATTGAAAACGGTAATTATTATTTTTAAACTTAGAATTACCGTTTATTACTACAACGATAACCTGGAGGGTGGTCGTAATTAAATGCCATCTATCGAACGGGACGGCACCAAAATTCATATTAGGTTACGCACGTAAGTGCATTAAGTATGTTATTCGAAACGAAAAAATTTCGTGGCAAAATCCACCAATACGGGCGCCGTACGAGGTGAAACGCATTAAAAGGTAGAGACAATGAAGGACGAACACAAACCCGAAAGTAAAAATTAATTTACGTGTTTACTTACGGTAATGATATACGAATTGAAACAACTCACTAATTACAATTCGAAAAACTAATGAGTTCGCCGGCGATGGAAACGATACGGTCCAGCAAATTCGACGCTAGGACGCGGGGATAGGGTCTACACGCTGCGTAACGTTATTCTTTAAGATGTAGTTTTTCGAATAATGCCTCATCGCTCTCGGTGCGGCCCATAAAAATATTTACCTTGGCATTTTTATGCCAATTATGTGTCCTTACTCGGTACAGCGTCATTTATTCCCCACCACTAATCGCATTTATGTAATTACGGTCACCAGCGCGCTTAATATACGTACCGTGCAGAAATTCTCTCCGATTTCCCTGTTCGCTGTTTAGAAATCGAGACGTTTATCGGTAAATAGATGCGCGCAATTGGAATTTCGTATTTCAATCTCAAATCCAGTAACGACTTGCTTAACTTCCCGGCAACATTTAAAACTGCGTATGTGGCGCCATCCGTTATATTTTTAATTATTATAAAATGGCGAAAACCTTATTTTTGAGGGTAAGGTTGGATTTATAAAAAACTGTAAATGTTAATAGCGAGTATAATCGTCATTAAACCTATTCGACATACGATACACGATCCCCTTCATATCCCCTTCCCTTCGACCTTTAATTAACCCTCTAATAAACCAACCTTCCTGCAAAATTTCAGAAATTTTCGACGATATGTAGAGAGTTAAGTCAAAGAGGGCGAAAAAATCCTGCCCCATCCACGCGCGCACCGACGTCCATACATAAAAAAAGACCACCCGAATTTTTTTCGTTTCTCGACGTTTCGAGGTCCCGAGTCGAAAAATGTACATTTTTTAACCCATCGCCATACCTTTCCCTCTGTTATATATAACAAAGCCGGAAAAGTAAAAATGGCGTTACTGTCGCATTCGATACAGAGAATTCCCACCCCAAATGGCGACAAAACCGAAATGTTAATAGTCTACTAAAATCCGATTAGCTCGTTAAGTTCGTACGACGAGAGTGCGAACAAAAGCATTTTCGAATAAATAAGTGGAAGTACCGCACCCGGCCGAACCCCTTCTCCATCGGAACGCCTCGGGCTTTCTAACGCGGTAGATGGTGAATCTCTACGCGTAAAGATCGGCCAAAAAACATTGGAAGATAAATTTTTATTTGCCTCCGAAAACTCGAAGCAACATTTGAAACGAAACGATGGGAGGGAAAATCTCGACTTACTTTACAAGAATGTAGACGTCGAGGCTTTGAGTCTCCTCCCGGTTTAAGTAAGCCACTTTGAGCATTTCACATTCTAACCGGGCATATAGTCGTAAATTAAAAAGTGCCGGCGCATCCAGTTTGAACGGCCACCGTCTACGGACAAAGCTCGACTCTCCACGCAATATCCGCAAAACGGCTTAAGTGAGCCAAAAGTGACTTTTGTATTCGTAATCCGCGCAAAAAACTAACTAATAATTATTCCTAACAGAGAAAATTTGAATTAAATCATAGATACAATTAAATAGGCCTACCACAGAACTTGCCCGCGACACTAAACCGACGAATTTTTGTAAACATTTTTTTAAATCAAAAGAACGTCGTAGGACAGCGTTTACAATTATAAACTCACCGCCCGCTTCTTTCTAATACAAGCTATTCGTAACAAAAATTTCAATATAATATACTAAATAAATATTTCCGCAATATTTTTCCCCAAATTTCCTCGAAACTGCTTTAATTCCCCAATCCGGTCGGCGCCATCCGACATATTTCGCACCCACGTATATGTTATAGACTAAGGCCAGGAACACACGTACGTAAAAATTCTGGCCGAATAGGAAACGCCACTGCCACTAACGGCGGTTACATTTTATTAACTTTCCTCTCTCGTATATCCTATCCTTTCCATTTTTTTCTCCGCTATAATTTAGAAAATTGAAATTAATAGACTCGTATTCCGAATTGAAATGAAGAACGCGCGATCTAAACACTAGGCCCTTACATCGATTCTACTAGACCTACCCGTTATTTGAAATGTATCACCTACGGTCATCCGTAAACGTCGCTTAAATACAGTGTCTTTACACGCGACGCCGACGTGGTCGAACGGATTCGATAAATTCCTCTATTTCATTCGTTTTTCTCTTTCTCGACATCGTCACAATTGTAGGGCTAACCCTCGTTGCCGCCATTGTTAGAATAGAAAGCGCGTATGTACTGTACGTCGACGTCGCAAAAAAGACTTCTCTTTATTGGAGGAATTTTGGCGTAAAAAAAGGGACACGCTCTTCTCCTTCCTCGGTTACGTTTCGGCCAAAATTTCGGAACATTTTTACGCTTTACGTTTTACGCTAGATTTTACGCCGAATTTTACGCGTGGGTGTTCCCGACCTAAGTGATTAATACGGGCATTACGAATAACGACAAACAAAATCGGGCACCGTAATAAATTTCGGGCGTTTTAACATAATTTATCGGATTGACCGGTCGTTACGAATACTGCTATCACCTAGTCGGGCAAATTGATGATAATACGTAGAGGAATGATCATCCGACATACGCTAGCCAATCGGCACTCGTTTAGTACCGAATTTTAAATTCACGCTACCAGTAGATAATCTTGCGCGACATTTTAATTTTACTTTCGTCTCTTAAAACACCGTTTTCTTCTTTGACAAAAGTAAATATCACGGAGATGAATAACCGCTTCGATAACAGATTAAACGAGATAATAGCGGCGAGGGGTCAGAACAGTCAAATTTTTACAAAATCGGTAAGTTTGAAAATAATACAAAAAGACAGAGTCAAAAGTGAAAGTGACTCGGAAGTTACCGGAAAAATATCGGCGTTTACGTAAATGCGACGTTGTCTCCGTCGGAGAAATAGAGAAATTAATCGTGCCCGTAAAAGAAGGTAATGTCATTAAATATTACGTTCGCTCCGAAGAAATATTTCAGATATTGCACCGTGCCCGTATTGCTATCGGCCGTGGCGGCAGATACCGTGTGGAGAAAGATTCGAGTACGAAATATAAAAATATTACGAGGAAGGTGATCGTAATTTATTTAAACTTATGCGAAATCTGTCAGAAAAAAGAATGTTCCTAAGAAAGGCTCGGTGGTTAAACCAACTTTATGTAATAAAATGAACTGGAGATGTCGGGTCGATCTTATAGATACGCAGTCGCCAGCGGATGACGAATATAAATTTATACTCGTGTATCGACACCGTCTACCTAAATTCGTTCAACTACCACCGATAAAAACCAAAAGAGCTGAAGATGTAACCTACGTTTTGTAGACATTTTTACAATTTTCGCTTCACCGAGTATTCTAAAAAGCCGTAACGGCAGAGAATTCACTAATAATATCATCAAAGAAATGTGTAGTATGTGGCCCGAGTTTAAAATGGTGCGTGGAAAGCCCGGGCATTGGCAAAGTC